AAATTTCAAACCTAATCTTGAAGAAATAAATGAAGCAATAAGGCTCTTTTCAGGTGTAGCAGACCTTGATTTTGAGCCAGACTATAATGATCATGTGTATTTCCAATATTTGTCTAATAGTAAAGATGATATTGCTCTTCTAGACGCCTATCATCCTGAAAAGATTTTTGATAAATATATCATTCGGGTGGCAGATAAGGGCTTTACAGTTGTTGATCACCCATCTGAAGTTTATAGCTTACCCAATACTCATGAGTGCATTAACAGGAATCTGCCTTTGCGCCTAATTCTTGATATCGATGCGAGGCAGAAGCCCGATCCCACGAATCCTGAACTCCCTTCCTTAGATAGATATAAAATTTCTCGTAATGATTTATTATCCAGAATCTTAATTGCCTGTGCTGATATTTTATATTCTGATTTAAAACATCTCATAACTTTAAATGCTTTCGCTTTAGCTAATTCGTCTAATGATGATAAATGCAGTTGGCATATTGTATGTTCTGATGCTCACTTTATTGACTATAGAGATCTCAGAGGTTTTGTAGAAAAAGTCGCAGATAGGGTTGGAAAACCATATTCTAAATTTATCGATCTCACGCTTTACAAATCACGTTTTAGTCTTCGACTTCTTGGATCAGCAAAGGGAGATAGAATCAAAAGACCCGCAATTTCTTCAATTAAGAAAGGATATCGCAAGCTAGAGGATTATTTGGTTCAACCCAAATTTTATTGTTCTAAAATCTGGCCACAGACCTTTTCTCCTGAGAAGCTGGAAAAGGAAGAGAAATTCCAGCATATCGAAGATGAAACTGTCTTAAGTAAAGGAGCTAACTTAGTTATTGCAAAATATGAATGGCTTGAGGTTGGTAACATTAGAAAGGGTTTCGTCAACTTTCAAGCCCGGTCATTAAAAGCATGCCCCATTTGCAATATTAGTCACGAAAAAGATCAGTTGTATGGATTTCTTTGAAGTAATGGGTACTTCATACTTAAATGCTACTGGCAAAAACAATATAAACCGGATCATAAGGGATTAGTATTTGGGGAAGCATTAGGTATAATCAAGCCAAAAGAAAGACCTAAATGGAGATTGAATTACAGATTAATTAATGTTGTAAAAAATCCACGTTTACTCCCTGAATTGTCTGGAAAAAATATCAATGTGAAAGAGATGGAAGAGGCTCCAGAAGCTTATCCAAACTTCTTAAGTTCTATATGTAGTACGACTCTTATTCGTTCACCTGTAGGTACTGGTAAAACAAAAGCCTTAAGAGAAATTCTCAAATCTTTAGCTGAGAATAGAGAAGTTTTACCTTGTTTTAGCTAGATTTCATATCGCAAAACTCTTAGCAATGAGACTAAAGCTAAAGTTAAAATATTACAGAGTTTGGGACTTCGCGTATGCCAATATCAAGAAGTTGAAGGTAGTTTAGCTATAAGTGATTGGGATGTTATTATCGTTCAGGTTGAAAGCACACATCATATTGAGCTTCACAGAAGGCGTCCATATGTAGTTATTTTAGATAAAGTCAATGCGATTATGCGCCAAATGTCCAGTGGAATTCATGCACGAGAATCTGAAAATGCTTTGCGAGATTTGTTAAAGTCAGCTATCCATATTGTTGCTATGGATGCTTTTGCAAATGACTCTACTATAGCTTTCTTAAAACAATATCGAGATAATGATATATGAATTTTTGATAATAAATATCAACCACGTATAGGCGAAACTGTTAAGATTCTTTATGATCCAGATAAAGGTTCAGAGGCTATGAGAAGAGGCCTTAAGATGCTTTGAGAAGGTAAGCGTGTTGCTTTTGCAATAACATCATGTAAAAAAGCTCGGGCTTTAGCAAACCAAACTTCTGCATTGCAAAAACCAGATGGTTCACCTATTTTAACTCGTGTTTATTTTGGCCAAATGGACGGAATGCAACGATAAGAGGATTTCACTAATATTAATGCTACCTGGAGTTCTCTCGACTGTGTAATTTACACCAGTACTGTAGAAGCTGGTATCTCCTTTGAAATTCCTAATCATTTTGACGCTATTATAGGGATTAGTAATATTAAAACAGGAGTACATGTCGAAGCTTTTACACAAATGCTTTATCGAATTTGGGATTGTCCACAATGCATAATTTCTTTATATAATAGTAAAAAGTCTTTCGAAATATTCCAAGAGCCAAATCGTAATCTTATTCGTGCAGGACTTTCTGCTTTAAGGCCTATTGATTTACCGACAGTAGTAAAAGGACATCGAAAATGGGATAAAATTGCTGATTGTTATGTTCTTAATGCATCTTCAGCAGTTGAAATATATATTGAGGCTGAATATCAGAGACGCTTATCAGCTAAGTACTTTCCCGAAATTCTCTGCAGTCTTGTTTCTAGTACAGGAGCTTCACTTGAGATTATTTCTGCAGAAGGTACCATAGCTAATAGGAAAATAGTTTCTAATATTATTAAGGCGATTGAAGAAAATATCAAAGGCTCTGATGCAGAATTAATAGCCAATGTACCTGATATCACTCCGGATGATGCTGAAATTCTTAAACAAATTTCCACACGCTCATTCAATGATAATATGATATTGCAATGACATTATTTGTGGAGAATATATGCTTCAGGAGATATTGGAGGTAAGGATGATCATCGGGACTGAAGCATGGATGATGGCAAATGAATTAATCTCTGTAATGTTAATTTTGTAAAAAAATTTAATAATTCTGAACCTTTACAACATTTTAGAAGACTGGCATATTTCTGAAGGTAAGGTTCAGATGCATTAAAAGCTTTAGAAGGGCTAAAAACTAAAGAAGTTATACAGTGGAAGGAATCGCACAATTCCTTAGATCCGTCATTAAATGATTTATGAAAGGCATATTTATCTAAACAGTAGAAGGTAATACAAAAACTTTTTCAAATACTAGGCTTTACAGGCATAGATGATGAACGTATCCTTTCTGGTAGTATGGTATCAGAAGCGTTTATGCAATCATGTGAAAGGTTTATAGAAATTCGAAATCAGTCTTTATTACTGTTCGGGTTTAAGTTTTGTGCAAAAGAAACACCAGACCTTAAATCAGCTATAAAAGCAATTAATGCAATCGCTGGAAATTGGTGTGGCTATACAGTTAAAAGCAATCGGAAAAGAATAGGTCTCAGAGAAAAGCAGGTTTGGGAATATTCATATAAAATTAATCGCCAGCCATATAACGATACTGGTTTTGGAGATAAAGGTGCTCCAGAACTTTTACCATATAAACTAAAAACAGATAACGAGATTCAGGAACTCTTTGATTCTATAGGGCAGGAAAAATAGTACTTCAGCCCATTATTCAGCATTTCGGCTAGATGTCTCAACCCATATCTGATTCCATTTTATTTTTTTTTTACCCTCACGATAGGCATTCTTATAAATTCCACCATGTGTGCTACAGATTCCAGTATTGGAATAGGTTTTCTCATCACAGACAGGGCATATTGTTTTAGGACGGGTTTTATAATGTATGGCACATCCTGAAGCACGCCAGCATCCTTTCCCACAAATCGAACCATCTTTCTTGATGTATTGACAGGATAAACGATCCATACGAGGTAATTTTGATATTAATAATCTTAAAACTTCATCTTTACTTTTATTATAGATATTCAAAATTGCTTTGCTTTAGCGCTGTCTGGGATTAAGAAAATTTTTTGAATTGAATTTTTTCTCACATAATATAACTAGATAACAGTTGGTATTGACATGACTACTAAAGCAACCGCTCCAAAGACTTGAAAACCCAAAACTAATAACTATACTGCCGTCTTAGAACAGTTCCTAGAAAAGCATAATCTGTCGGCTGACTCCACTTCAGCAAACATGCTTCCGAACTTGATGCTTTGCTTCCTGATGATTGGATGGTCCACAGGTGTGTTAAAGTTACCCTTGCTAACAGTACTAATAATAGACGTTCATTTAGTAAAGAGAAGATAGATGCTTTCATGCTGGATAAAAGAAAGAAAAATCTTACCATTGAGGAAAGGGCGGAATACTATGCTAAGGCTGGTGATTTTGTAGACATTATCGCCAATCATTGAGCAGTAGGTTCAAAAAATAAAGATGAAAATGAAATCATTGTCGGTGTCTCGCGTCAGTTAACATTTTATGTGAAGTTAGTAGAAGGTGGTGTAGATCCTGCAATTATTGAAGAATTTGCCAAAGATAAGAAACTTATTCAAGGTTCTAATCAAATTCAGAAGAAACAAACTAAGAAACGAATGGCTAATCCAGACAGAATTCCCATACACTTCTTCTTAGCAAATGTGAGTAAAAGGCTTCAAAACATAGATACTTCTAAAATTCCTACTAAAGAAGATCTTGCAAATGTGATAGTGATGTTGAGTATGAGACCAGAAGAAGTAAGATCTTTTCAAATTAATCATTATGAACTGGATCCTTCGAACATTCCAGCATGGTATAAAGAAGGCTATTCTTGGTACTGCATAGGCTATTTAAAGAACAAAGGAGAAAAGAAGGAGAATCCTGAACCCCAACCTTTTCTTTCTATGGAGAAGAATCCAGAACGTGTCAGGGAATTACTCATCTGGATTCGAAATGCAATTAAGACTAAAAAGTTACGTAATCCCGTCTTTACTAAAAGTGAAACATGTAATGCTTGGCTATTTAACGAATTCTTGAAGCAAGAACCATACCTAAAAAATTAAGAGATTATAGAAGTAAACACACTTTCAGAATTCATGGTGGTAAGAATCCAACTCTCTAGCATCTTAAACTGCTTTCGAGAATCGCATTAAGGCAAGAATCTGACTGTCTTGATGCAGGTGATAATTATGCTATGGGTGATACTGAGTCAGAAGACGATGGTCCTGAATCTGACCATAAATCTGATCATGAATCTGAATCTGTTCCTGAGGC